ACCTTTTCATATTTTTTAAACAGTTTATTTCTTCTATGATTAAGCGGTACTCTTGGAGAGACCTTATTGCACTGAAAGCTACAGTATGTTAATTAAAATCTGTACATTACCCACACACATGAGTCATCTCTATACATGCATTTACATAATGAAACATTAAAAAATAAAAAACCTACCAGAGTTAGAAATAACGTGATTCTTAGTGCAGGGTGCTTCGAGTTCTATTCGAGGACAAGCGAAGAAATTCCAAGAGCTTTCAGATTTCCTTTGTAAAAAAATAATTGGAAATGCAGGTGCTTTTCTCAGTGATAAAGTACACCTGTCTTAGCAAGCTGGAAAATCCCAGTCAAACCAGCTTCTGTCTTTTGGATAAGGTCAATTTAGCAGCGAACGCATTTCCCAGATCTGAAAGGGATCAGATGGGCCTGAATGAAACCCTCAGTTCACTGGAATTGAGATTCAGAATTAGCCAGTGAAATTAAGAGAGAGGCCTCATGTTGATCTTTGTTTTTTTTCGGGGTGGGAGAAAAGTCTGTCCAATGGCCGGTCTCAGCCTCCCTCTATTCTGTCAGAAAGGCACTTCCCCCTTTTCCATAAAAAAAGGGGGTGGCATTGTTTCCCCCTGCCCTAGTGATCTGTTTATGTCCAGAATTGACTGTCAGGTCCTGGACAGTTGCCAGGCAACGCAGAATAAAAAGGATGACCTTTGACTTTTGGCCTAAGCTCCATTGGTTTGACTGCCCCCATCACATCTCTGCCCCTCCTGGCCTACGAAAGACAATATGTTTTTTTTCTGAGGAACTCTTCTTTGAAGTAATGTTTTTTTTTTTACTCTGAATCAACTCATTTTTCTGACTGTCTTAGGATCTGCTCCAAACATATTTGTATCAATTTCACTGATTTTAACTGACTCAGCTTTCTAACCTCTTTTGCATTAAGCAAGGAAATGGAAGTCTACTTTTTGTGGTATATTTGATCTGATGTGTGTTTTCGCTGATATGATTGAAGCACTACATCACATTCAACTCACTTGTTTAGTATTGATCTCCTTGATTGCTGTTATCCCAGTCTATTGGTTTTATATCACGGCTTATTAGCGATACTTCATAACCATAATATGAATGATCTGCTTGTATTGATCTAACAAGGTCTTTGGAGAATACAGCTGAAAATGGGATCTGTATTGGAATGTGTGTGTACTTTCTTGAAAGGATTTATATTCGTTTATAATCCAGTGTTAGGTTTTTAAATTTACTAGAACTGAGGGTTTCAGAGATTACATTTTCTACAGAAAAATTCCACACAGATTATGCTGCTTAATTATATTTTTAGACTGTCTTTTTCATACCGTAGTAGGTATTGTGATTGCAAGATTGCAAGGAATTTAGTGTTCTCCTTTGTGGAAAAAAAAACTCTCAAGAAATTAGCAGCATTGATACAGAGGTCAAGTAGTTTGTTAGAAGGGATAGAGGTTAGGGCAGGCTGCCATGGTAACTCCTATCTCCAGTCATCAGTCTCTCAGCTGATGAATTGCAGCTGCCTTTTAGGGGACAAAACTATGGATTGTTTGGCAATACTTCCTCACAAGATCTCAAAGTTGTCAATTTAACTGTTTTACTTGTTTTAGTCAGCACAGACAGCTTTTGTCTCAATCTCTAAATGGAGGCTGGGTTTTAACAGCCCAGAGAAGAGAAACATCAGCTTTTGTAAACAAGCCTTAAGTTTGGTACATTTAAGGAAATGTATTTATGGACTGCCCCCACCTAAAAGAAGGTTGGGCATAAGTTTTAAAACCTTGCATACTGTGGCATTAACACAAATTCTCATCATGTTATTGGATTGGGATGAGGATATTATTTACTGATTTATTTCTAGAATTAAATATATTCTATAATTACACTACATATAATGTCACAGCATGATTGTTATTAATGGTTCCTCTATGCAAAACGATTTAATGCGAATCTGGAACTGGAACTTTATCTACAGTATTTCAGCCTATGAGTCTTCAGAGTGTGAATATAACAAAATAACAAAAATCACAAAAATAATTAGCGGCCTAACTGCACATCTGAAAAAAAGATTTGAAACATTATGTTGTGAGAACTACAAGACAACTTTTGCTAAGTTTGCTCTGTTTCTCCATCAAGCCCACCGAAAAACTTGATATTTATTTAGGCAAAAAAAACAGTTGATTTTATATTTCCCTATTTTATTTAGTTTTCCATGCCTTTATTGTTTCCTGCTTAAATTCTTGTCTTTAAATTACTTTTAGCACACTGCATTCTGGAGCAAAATCTTCAAAAATCCCCCTTGGTTTGCTGTCATATGGAAAAGCGAATTCATTTAGGATTTGTTGGAGAGTTGGAAGGGAATACTATGGTACTACAAGGTAATGGATGTAACAATGAGATGCATCCGTGAGCCTTCCTATCCTGCACGGTATTCCCATAACTGGATTACTAATAAAACACAGGCTGTGTTACAAGATGTTTGAATGTGTTCACTGAAACTGGAGACTGGAGACCTAAGCTGTAATGACTAGGAGAAAAAAAATAACAATAATACCTGAATCATATTGTTATTTATAGAATGCACTGAGAGACTGGCAAATTAAATTAAAAAATGTACTATTCAATTTCAAACCTTTGTTGAATTCTGTGCATTTCTTTAGTGTGCCAGCAGATGGCAGTACGAGCCGTGTTTTAATAGGTACTTCCAGAGCTCTTGTTCAGATTGCCGATCTGCAAGACGTACTGTACATTAGACATTGCAACACTGACAAGTAATTTCTTGTTTCTTAATTGCACGCTTATATTCTGTTCTCTCTTGCTTATGTTCACGACAGTTTCTCACCGATGTCAGCTAAGGTCAACAGTAGGGCTTATATTTTTTTCTTTCTAATTTTTCTTTCTCATGCTTTACAGAATTTCCAGTAAGAAAATACAAAAAAATAGTCAGATTTATTATGTTAATAATTATTCATATAAAAAACGTATTATTCATATATAAGTACTATAGAACTACAAGTTAAAGTTGGATTTCTTTTTTTTGTTTTGCTCCAGGCTAATCATAGCAATGCTTTTCTAATCTGTATTTCTCCGTCTACTCATGCAACATCATATTTCTGGTGATTAACTCAGACAAAGTGGAGCCCATAAAAGATCTAGCAAGGCTCCACATCTGTCACTGAAGTACCATATCAGATTTCTTTGCCATTGCATTTAAATTGCCTTTAGGCATTTGATAACAGTAGAACTCGGTCACCACAGCACCATACAAATCCTTTTAATTTCTTGATTTTCATTTTCATACAGTACTGTATATTCATTGTCAGCACCAGCCTGCAGCTACAGTCAATCATGTGTTTCTTTATTGTTCAGTGCCTGCTGTACAGTAGTTGCAATTAGAAAATTCTAACAGCAAAGGCTACTCTCACATCTGGATTTACTAGAAATTGCACATCACCAGTTTTCATCCAGAGTAAACCTTCTAATTTAACATGTTATCTTTGTTATATACAAAAAGGATGAATAAAACCCAAAGTACTTTGAGGCCCTGGCAACTTATTATATTAGGAACAAGTAATAGGTTTATTCCATGCTGAAAAGAGAAGAAACAACATTTTGTTTTCTTTCTTCTCTTTTCAGCATGGAATAAACCTATTAGTTGTTCCTTTGCAGCCTGAACTACTTTTTTTATTAGGCTGACTTCTTATGTTTTGTTTTTTTAAAGCAGCATATGTGCTCTGAATGTGGTTTTTGCACATACGGTAATTCTCCTTAATGCAGCATATATAATTTGGAACTTATTCTTCAAGACTGATCTTACTGATTTTAGTGAGTCAGTAGAAGGATGCTTCCTAATGTACATGCAACTCTGCCTGTTGGCTTCTGCAGGATTGATTCCATATGATTTAGCAGCTACAGGTTCTATGTCTTGCTGATTCACACTGTATCCTCTATTCATGCAAAAATGTCAGCCAATCAAAGGTCTAAGGTAGGCAAGCAGACACTTAGAAATTTTAGACTTTAGGGAGTTCACAAGTAGAGAGTGAGTCTGTGAAGAGATTTGTGGAAGATGCATTTTTAAAATTGCTAAAAAATAAAGCTAGTTTTGTTAAATCACTTTAGTTTCAGTTTCAGTGTGCATTTTAGTATGGGATCATGTTCAATTCTGGATCTTTTACATTATAATAAATAGAATTTGAATGGCAGAATTGTGCAAGCTAGAAGCAAATAATGTGTAGCATTTATTTTTCCTGAAGCCATTCAAACCTTTTGCAATTCTATATTTGACCAGAAGATGGTACCAGAATTCTTCTAAAACAGTTATTCTTAATCTTGGTCCATGAGTACCTGGAGTACAACTGCACTCATAATCATAAAGTATGAGAAGTCTTTTTTGTTGCCACACATGCAGACTTTCTATGACATACGTTTTAACTAAAAAACAAGTCCTGCTTTATATGAATTTTAATGTAGTGTGAGAATAAAATAAACATTTAAGAGCATCTCTCATACTGTATAAACCATGGCTCACTCAATTCCTAAAACATAAGGCAAAGGTAATTAACAAGAGCAGTCTGCCTTGTTAAACTAAAAAGCAGTTTGTTCTACATCATTAACAGATGACATTCTAGAAATTACCGGGCAATATCAAGCTCTCTTGTTAGGTTTATATGTGCTTATTGACCTACTAACCAAGTTATTTGTTGGTGGATCTGTGAGTCACAACAGATTTCATTTCACTGTGTGTCGTGTCATTGTTGTCACCTATTCTAGAATTGTGTGCACTTTAAAAATAGATTGAAATCTGTGCATAATGTTGCAGAACTACAAAACCAAAGCACAATATTTGAGGGTAGGATATCGGCATCCTAATAAATACCCCCTGGAGTCCCCCAAACCAGGCGCATGTTTGTTTTAAGAAGCTGACCCTGTTTACCGCATGTCGGAGATTTCTCGGTCGGTTCTCGATCGGGTCTAAGGAGCTCCTACCTGGACAGTCTGCCTGTCAGGGATCCCGCTGTACACGGATATCTGCGGGACTGTCTGCCTTCCATTGCTGCTGCTGCTGCTGGTGCTAATGGTGCTGGTGCTGGCAGTGGTGGAGACAGCGCTGCTGGAGGTAGATGGCACTTGGTCGCTCTCCATGGCACGTTCTCCCTGGCTCACAGATGCACAGCCCACCTGGATCCACGGCTACACCTCAGATTGGCACACCTCAGCCTGGGCAGGATAGAGAAGCAAACACTGCAGAAAAAGCCTGTATATTGCATTGCAATCCCCACCACCACCACGACCATTTATTGTAGTGGTGAAAGCATTTTTGGGAAATCGCAGAATGTGCAGAACTTGATGCACATCAAAGTCTCTGATCATCCCCCTGGGTTCTAAATTTGCACTGCCAGAGGTTGATTTCCAATTTTCCACACTGCCTCTTTTCACAAGTAAAAGACATACAGTAGCTCCTTAAAAAGATCTAACTAGGAGAGAGAATCGAGCACTAAACTAGGTGCATTACCCCATTTAGTCAGATGGTCTCCTTTGTGAAATCAGAATTTAAAGAAGGTACTGAATTTCCTTAATAAAAAAATTGGAATTACTGATTGTTTTTGTGTTACCCACTAAGCCAGTGTGGAATCACCAATTGCTTGATTCACTTCTCTGCCAACAGCTCTAGTACTTCTTGGAAGAGAACGAGGTGTGGGTGTGCTTCTCTGACACGCCCTCCTGTGGAACCATTCATCATCTGACTTGCTGCAAACTCCACAGTGACTGTGAGTCCCTGTTAGCTGAAAAACCGGGAGACTCCAGGCTTTTTATCCTGGTGGAGCTCAGGAAACGGAGTACAGCTGCTTGCAGAACCCCTGCCCTAGTCAGCTCGTGACATGACCCTGGTTCAAATTAGAAACGTATGGATAATTGAACTCAACCTGCATATGGGGCAAGTGACTTCACTGCCTGAGCCAGTCAAGAACACGTAGTTTTGTGCATTTAAATATTTATTTATAAACATAGAGCTTACTGCAGGCATATTTTAATATGTATTAAAGTTGGTTGAGGCACAGTATTTTGCTGAAAAACCTGGTTTGGATTAACTTAGGTCAAAGTATTTGTTCCTGGAATGGGTATAACTTTTTTAGTAATTGTGGTTGAAGAAGGGTTTTAACTGTTGGACTTGTGATTCCCTATCCTAAAAGATTTGAGAAAGGAAACACGCATGGTGACTCAGGCAGGTCCCTTAGTCAAGTCAGTTTGTTTTTCAGCTTATCACTTAGGCAAACACATTCAGAAAGTTTCAGATAGTGCAAATCAAGTGGTGCTATCCGGTTGGTTAATGTAACTTTTGGGTGGATGTTTGGGGACATTAAAAAAAGTTTTTTCTTCATGAGTTTCTCTTCATAAAACAGAACACTGGAGTTTTACATATGGAAGCACCATCCCTTATTCCTCTGACCTCTTACCCAGTACCTTGTAGACAAAAGGACACAGCTTCAGGTTACTAACAAATTGGCAACTAAAAGGTCATTTAAAGAAACCTGAGACGAATTAATCCAGAACTTCAAACAGTAACTCATATCCCTGTAATAAAATGACAGGAACTAAACACAGTAGGTGAGTGCTCAAGTGGTGATTTCCTATTAATTGTGCTGAACTGCCAAATTTGTCTTTTTGGTGATTGATGCAACTGTTTGACAGGTTGCACAGCAGTGGCTTGAGAGTGATGGGAAATGTTCTTTGCAGGACTACATGATGAATAAAACACACTTCTCACTTCTCTCTAAAACACACAGTCTCTCTGATTTAAAGCGCCCCATCTAGTGTCTTAGCTTATTTCAACTTACATTGTACCGGACTGAATGACTGTTACGATTATTTTCCCAGTGGACAAAATGCTCACTTCATAGTAAATGATTGAATGGGCAATTTTCTCAAAGTTGGCACACAGGGATAATCGGGCAGATTGTGTTTGCGTATATTACAAGAAGGTTCTTCACCACTGATGAATCTCTGTATAGAAGAAATCCAACCAAATGTGCTGTTAATAAGTAATTAAGAATTTTTGTTCTACAATTTATATACAATTTACAATGTGCCAAGGAAAATATCAGAAGTCCATCCATCCAAAAGCAGAATGTCGCTTGATCCTGGTAGGGGCTGTGTCAACCCAGAGTTTATCCCTGGAGGATAGGGCCTAAATTGGTATTACACCACAGATAGGGTGCCAATTCATTGTGGCTCTCGTGCACACAGGAACAAATAAAATATTATGTTAAACGAAGCCAGAGTGTTACGCCCTCTGCAGCCAGAGGGCGCTCCATCTCTGTCCTGTCCCTAGTTTCCGGTCTGCTGTCCTTCCTGTCCCTCTCTTTCCCTTGGGCTATATATTTCCGGGTCTTGCACTCTGTCCTAGCTCAGCATTGATGTTCGGATGTCCTGAGACCCGCCTAGCACCAGGGCACCCCACGTCCGCTCCCTGAGGGCATAGGTTTCTATACGGCATTCCTGAACTCTTTGCACTATGAGCCCGGGCCTTTTTCCCGTCTCGCCGCTACGCATATGGGTCTTTTTCTGCTCTCCTGCTCCCCACGGTTAGTCCCTTTGGACGTCCGTGACACAGAGTGTCTTAGAGAGGTGAATGGAGACCAGAGTACCTGGCAAAAGCCAACATAAGCCCTGTGCACACACGAAAAGCCCCATACAGGTTGAATCCACAGAGTTAAATGCTGTGGCACCACAACAACAACACAACAAAATGTTCCGTTTCACCACTGAAGCTTGTAATAGTGAGGAATGAGGATTTTTTTATGTTTTAAGTGGCATGTTCTTTTACCCTTTTATAGCTTTTTATCCTTTACCTTTTAGTTTTGAAAAAATCAGTTAATTAACCAAAATATAGACATGATTGGCAAGGTGCTGGAGTACCCTAAGACAGCATATAAAATGCGTGCTATCACATCTTAGCATGTAAGAGTATGTATTGCAAAGTCTGAACACTGCTTTTGCTACAGGGTGTATTCAGACAGTTGAACACAATTTTCCATTGTGCATCCAAAGGACTTTAATCAGTTTTCTCCTCCATGCTTGTTCATACTTGAAAGTAATCCACAAACACTCATTTTAAGGGTGGATACCCATCCACAGCTATCATCTTTGAAGATCCATCTCAAACTACAGTTTGCTGCACACCTGCAGTTCACTTTCCTTTAAATGATGAGACAAAGTCTGTCATAAAAAGACAATTTTTAAATATGAAGCAAACATCCTATTAGAATGAACCATGCAGAAATAAAAAAGTATTTTGATGCCAAAGATTAAATCTCTGAATTTGGAAAACAGACTTTTCTTTACGGTTCTATTATATAATTCAAAACAATGACTCGCATCCTTTTTCCAGGAAGAGTTTCAATAAGGTTTTAGTTAGCACCATTGTCTTTGAGTTACTGTATTTGTTGCTATTCCTGTTGGATTTAAGTAACATGTGCTGTATCTAGAGAAATTAGGAGATTAGTTGTTTTAGTGAGCATGTGGATTTGAAGGCTGTTGTTATTGGTGTTGTTCAGAGACAGAAGTGTTGACTGGATCTGAAAAGGAGATATTCCTTATTAAGTGTAGTTGTTAAGCTGTTAAGCACCCTAATTATTTTCACTCTGGGACACAATAACATTTCCCCTCAAATCCCATTAAAAATTCAAACAACATGTTTACAGCTCACAAATTACTTGCAGCTGCTTTCTCACGTTTTAAGGATCTCTTCCAACAATATTCCAATTGTTGTGATGAGTTTGGACTTTAAAACATATTTTAATTGCCGTTTTTTTAAGAAACACCTGTTTGGATTTTCCATAATGTCTTGAAGTGTTTCTGCCTTCTGATATACATACAGTATAAGATGTTGAATTGGGACAGATACAATGAGGGTTATTGTGACACCATACAAGCAACTTTTTTTTCCTTCTTTGGTCTGATGGGAATTACCAGAGCTTTTTGTGTCAGAAAGTGTTTCAAGAAATTTAAATGATATCTGAAGTGTACTAAGTTATTACTGTAAAGTGTGCACTGTTCATTCCCTTTCAAAGCTACATTAATTTATTAATGTAAGGCTAGTCTTATGCACAGTTGTGCTTATAGAAACTGCAGTGTTTGCTCCTGAATTTGTGACAAATATGAAAAGAAAGAAGTTATCACTATTGACCCACTGGTGAAACAAACATATCATTGTCTCCGTAAGCAGAGTCTTTTTTAAACTGCTCAGTTTACAAAGTGTTGACTGATATTTTTAAACATTTCTTTTATAGTCATATATTTAACCAAAAGAAAGCAACTGAAAATATTGTCCACTACAAGGAAATTGCATGTAGATGAGGCTTTTCTGTGCTAATTAACTTGCAGTGGGAACTCAGATTAAGGTCTCTTATGCTGATAAAGAAAGCAAGTGCACAGATTATTTTGAAGTGATAGATGAAACTGATATAACAAGAAGAAAGGTATATCACTTTATTGTATAAATCGCATGAACTTTGCCAAGAGCGTCTCTTCACAGGATTTAAGCCTGAATTAGATCAAACCCTCAACCCACCTGCTAATTGCCAGTTGCTAAAACACAAACCCAGTATTTGATGACATCTTTCTGTTTTCAAGTATAGTGCTTACCATTTGAAGTATATAGATGGTTCAGCCACATGTAACCCAATGTTAATAAAAATATTTCTGGTATCTCCATCCTTGTGGTAATTTATTTCAGCATTCTATTTGTAGAACTACAGTGAGCATGTACTGAATTAAAGTTTTCTATCTGCACTTTTATATTGCATTGTGCAATTTAGATTTTTATTTGTCCTTACAAACATGCCTCCCCCTTTGACTTTTGGGTTTAGAGTATGTGCCGAGTATCCATCCATCCATTTTCTAATCTTCTCCATCTGATTGAGTGTCATAGCGGATCCAGAGCCTAACCTGGCAACAGGCACAAGGCAGAATACACCCTGGTGCAGGGCAGACACACAGACACACACACTCACACCAGGGCCAATTCATAGAACCCAGTTAACCTACTAGGATGTGTTTGGACTGTGGGAGGAAACCTGCACACTTGGAGGAAACCCACACAAACACGGGGAGAACAGACAAACTCCACCCAGACAGCAGACTCGAGGAATTGAACCCAGGGCCCCAGCACTGTGAGATAGCAATGCTGACCACTGCAGCACTGACTTAAATATGTA